AGAGAGAGAGCGAGAGAGAGAGAGAGAGAGTGCATGTACAGTTCAGTCATGTAATCTCAAGCTCGTGACCTCTTGCTGACCCCTGCGCAAAGCATGTGCCGCAAATGCATCGCTGGGCTTATTTTTGTAAAGCAGGCCTTTATGCCACTAACAAACCATCAAACTATTGCACTGATGGCGAGGGCAAAAAAAAAAGGGAATTATCCGGGAAAATGTCAGCAAGATGTGATCGGATCGCTGATGTTTTAAGTGGTCTGAAGGGATGCCACCCAAAATGCAAATTAAATAAATATCAAAATCATAATAATAAAATCATGTAGTCAGAACAACCTGTTACCAGGTAACTATGTGTCTTTTAATTGTACAGAGTATCAATAATACATTTTATGATTATGCGCCAGACATGCGTCACAAGGATAAATATGTTTTGGGAGAGCCAAATTTGTGTGATACATGATTGTGATTATTATTATTTTTTTAATTGCTGATTTCAATAGTCTTTATAATGATTGAATTTGAATTTGTAATTGTATTAGTGTGTATCTATATGTACATTTGGGTGTGTACCTGAGTTTCAGATAGGTTAAGTTGTCGGGCAAGTTCGGTTCGTTCTCGTCCCACAACATACTGGCACCGCTGAAACTCCATCTCCAGTCTGTACAGCTGTTCTGCTGTGAACGAGGTCCTAGTACGCTTTGGTCGGTCTAGATCCAAACCCTTGGGGAGAATAATCTCTCGAATCGAACCTTTGGCATCTAAATGTGATAGGAAAATGTTTTCAGCAAATTGTCATACCTACTGTAAGATTATCATTAAAATATCTGTTCATTCAATTAAAAGAAATGATTATATCATAAAAACATGCCAAAAGTGATTTCTTTTTGAGAAATTAATATAGGTAGTCATGGAAAACATTTGTAACATTACACAGTTTTTGTGGCTAAATAACCAACAAAACATATGACATTTTTTATTAATCAAGCAAATTGTCATACCTACTGTAAGATTATCATTAAAATATCTGTTTTTAAAAGAAAGAAATGATTATATCATAAAAACATGCCAAAAGTGATTTCTTTTTGAGAAATTAATATAGGTAGTCATGGAAAACATTTGTAACATTACACAGTTTTTGTGGCTAAATAACCAACAAAACATATGACATTTTTTATTAATCAAGAAATTATTTTCCTCCACAAGTTGTTAAAAATGTCACAGTTTTGTAGGTATATCATGGCGCATAAATGCTAAACAAATGCCAGACTAGACTTATTATTTTAGTAAGTTTTTTATTTTAAATACTAACAATTCATCATGTAGGAAACAGTGTTGACTAAAATAAAAAAGTTAAATTAAAGCTCAAAGAATATTTCAATTTTTTTTTTAACTTAATTTAAAACACAAATACACAAAAAGGTCTGACAAATCATACTGCACAACAATTTTCTATTTTTCTGTCTTTTGCATATTAGTTATAAATATTTATAACGGGTCTTCTATCTCTGAACAGATTAAATGATTACTAAAAATGTTTACTAATCAAGTATTTAATAAAGTAAATGCATAAAAACAGGGAGATAAATGCGTGATTTAAAAATGAAAGAAATATTTAAGAAATACACCAAACATGTTAGCTGATTAATCAAAGTAATTATTTTTGTTGTTATTTGTGTCTTTGTGATGTGCAGAACCATGCTCCAGCATTATTAGTAAAATTTGAAGCAATAAATATACTCTTTAAAAAATTAGTTAAGCTTTGTGACAACTTCAAAATAACTTAAAACACACACTGGTCTCCATAATTATTCAAATCCAGATACTAAATAATTGTATTGGCTGCTGAATTGAGACTGAAGAAATTACACAATAATTTCATAAGGTTAATTTGCTCGTATTTCAGCAGGCCTCCGAGTCTGCCCTAGATTTATCTTCACAACCTAAATAAATTAATGGAGCTGATTGCGCTCCAAAATTTCACAATCAGCTGACACAAGCAGGAGGGGCTTCACAACTATGTTAGTAATTTAATACAAATACAGACAAATAGCTTTTAGCCAAATTGTCGCAAAAACATAATAGCTTTTTAAAAAAAAAAACTTAATGTGAAATATGATTCATTTACAGATGCATTTCTGTGCATCTCAATGATACTGTTTAAGGAAAAAAAGATGTATCTTCATTAAATACTTTAGTAAAAGAAGCAATGTAACAGAATGCTTAAAAAGTAACAGAATGCATAATTTTTTTTGATGATGGACAAAAAGCATTGA